GTGCTTTGGCATGTAATCATTCTTGTTATACGTAATAAGTGCTATTTAAATAAAACTAACCTGTGAATTTAGCTAAAAAAAACTAAGTGTTAGTTTTCAGGTAAAAATCTTTTCTTTAGACGGGAAACCTTAACAGGCTACGTTGTACGCTCACGTTGACGTCCTTCGTAGTTTTTCTAAAGCGAAACTTCGAGTTGACAGGTATCAGTGGAAATGCATGGTGACAGTTGCAATAATTTAGGTTGATTTGAACACAAAAGTTATCTGCGCATTATCAAAAAGGTCTATAGGAAATCTTTAAAGATTTCCTATAGCAATTGCTTTGCAAAACGTGTGAAGTTTTAGAAATTTCTTGTCTTCTGGGATTTTGTCAAGAGCTTTCAAAATACCAAATAGTTTCTTGCACACCTTTCAAATTTCTGGGCGAGACTATAATTTGCGGATGAACCAATCGAGGATAAGATAACGGATCTCGGATTTTGGCGCGGAAGTCTTTCATCCACTTGGCTAAATAAAGTTTTGGCATTATATATGATGTCAGTTCGTGGTGAGAACCCTATACATAATTCCTAACTAAGACAAATTATGACAATTATTGAGAGCTGGATAATAAGAGCACCAGTAATACTGGCTGCAGCCAGGCACTACAATATATACGGATGTTTGGAGAGCGTACAGGTTCCTACATAGGCCTGGTTGTGTGGATTGTGTCGTTACCCACAACTGGCATTTTGTGCACTCAACAGCCAGAGTGCACATAAACAACAGTGAATCTATGTGGTCGAGGCTGAAAGAGTTTTTGAGACTTTATCATGGCTCCAGAGGCCGACTATTCTGTAGCCATATGGATGATTCCCTCTACTTCATGCATTCCGGCTTTAGGACCTCTGAACATCTTTCTAACCTGACAAGCATTTGAACCACGTATAAGAAGTGTGTCCATTTTATTTCCTTGGTTTTGTATAATATATTTTTGTTTTGTTTGCTGATTGGCTAATATTTCTCAAGGTCACTTAAAATTCGTTCAAAGGTCGTCCATAAATTAGAGTCTCGCCCTACCATCGTATTTTTCTCTAAAAAGGCTTGTATTTTGTGCAACGATTATGGAAGGGGTATAGGTCTAAATTCAGTTTCTACCTAACTGTTGGCTTCCATTACACTCCACCGACTATTCAGAAACGTCTATCAGTCTGACTGGGTCGGGTATACAACTTGTTAGTGTGAGTAGCTTTGCTCTGCGCCTGAAAAATCTGACTTAAACTTCGGTTGTTCAGCCTCTAGTCTTCAGTAATAAGGATGGTAGGTTGGTGGAACTCTGTTAATCTTGACAGTTTGCCTTCCAGTGAAGGGCCAGCTTGAAAATGTTCACCGATGGGGCTGATACCACTTGTTCGGGTAAAACGTTCCAGTCATTGACCAATCGTTGAGAAAAACGGAACCCACTTTAAGTTTATTTGATCGCGGTTTGTGAACCCTCTTGCTATGACCTCGGAGGTTATCAGTGTTGAAAGGAGCAAAAAGATAAGACATATTAACGCCCAAATTGCAATCAAAGATACGAAATGCCAATATAAGGTCACCCCGCGTCTTACGGTATAACAAGGGGAAAAGGTTTAGGCGTTTTAAGCGCTCATCGTACGGAAGTTTAGAAAGACCCTTCACTAATTCTGTTCCCACACTCTGAACACGCTCAAGTGAGTTAGCATCCTTATTCAGACATGGGCCAGCTGCTTGAATACAGTACTGTAAGTGGTCCTGCATAGGTGGGATATAAAATTCGAAACATCTTGTCAAAGAATTTGAATGCTCGGTGAAGTGACTATAGCGTACGAAGCCCTTTGGGAGCTGCTGCGTTGCAATACGTAGTTGTTTTCAAGTCGTGACTTATTATTACTACCCCTAAGTCTATATTCCTGCATGCATGGTGATGTACCTTCAATAGTATACTGTTAACTATTGCTGTGTCCGATGTTCATGAACACACTCTTCCTAGAATTGACTTTTAAGTCCCAACATCGAGCCTATCTAACTAATTTGTCTAGGCCGGCTCAAAGATCCAAATGATCAGCCTCACTTCTTATTGTTCTCCATATTTTTACATCATCCGCAAACAATGTCGACGGTTTAAGCAACAGCGGTAATTCACTAACGTAGAGAAGGAAAAGTAGAAGGCCTAAGGTGGTGCCTTGGGATACATCACTTTTGACCAGCTTCCATTCGGATAGCGTCCCATTGACTCTCCCTCTGTGTTTGCGGTCACATAAGAATTTTCCTATCCATTCCTGTACAGCATCTGTTATTCTGAAGACCTAAGTGCGCAACCCTGTCAAATGCTTTGCTAAAGTCTATGAATATCATATCAGCAGACAGACCGTTATCAAGGGCCGCTGTCCAAACCTCCATCAAAATAAGTAAGTTGGTCAAGCATGAATGCCTGTTTCGAAACCCGTGTTGTTCGGGAGTTATCAGATTGTACGAATTTATGTGAGTTAGTTGTCTTTTCAAGTAACCTAACGACTATGCTGGTAAGACTGACAGGTTGGTAGTTAGATACGATCTATCTCTGAACATCTTTAAATATACGACTGACTATAGCATCTTTCCAATCTCTAGGAGGTTGAGTGAATGAAAGGGAAACGTTAAAAAAGCATTGTGAGTGGTCTTGAAATAATGTCCACAAGAGATGATAGCAGTCGTGGATGTAGCCCGTCAGGGCCCGGTATTCTACAAGGTTTGAGGTTAGTGGTCAATGGAAGAACAGTTTCCTCAGTCACATGTACAGGCCCTATAGCTGGTATGTCAGCGGTGTGATTAAGACAAGTACTTTAAACAATACACGTAGAGTAGACTTCGCTAAAATAGTTTGACAAAGCCTCAGCTTTTGCCAGATCTGATTGAGCTAGTAAATCTGAATTTCCGTGTAACAGTAATGGGGGAATACCACTACGTTCTGTTCTCCGTTTAACGTACGACAACAATCGTTTCGGACAAGTACGATTGTCATACACCAACTGTCTTTCGAAAATAGTACGGCATCTAGTTATGGTCTTTTTACACATATTTCGGTGATTCCGTTTCTGATTATCGCTGGATTTGTAGAATTACCCGGACTCGATGACGAAATCACGTCCGAAATACTGAGGTCCTGTATTATGTGTTTGGTCTCAGTGATAATAATTCACTTGATATCACCATCTTGAAGCACTGATTTTTAGGACTTGGTTTTGTTTATAAATACCATCGCAGTGGTTTACACATCTCACACTGTTTGCCGAGGCTGGGATTGGGTAGAAGAAAAACCCAATGATGGTCACTTTGTGACCGTAGTATGAAACATAGTTGTATGTGATCAGCATCTGTTGGTCGTTAGTGACTTTCCACTTGGGGTCCTAAAGGTCGTTGGGCACACTGGCTCGAGACTATTAGATATGGACTAAATTAGGATCTAGTGGTGACCTTGTTTCAGTTTTATAAATACCAGTTAAAAAGATGGACTCCATTAACTGGAAGAAATTTTGCTTTTCTGCACTATACTTGCCTCAGTTTTTTGCTTGCTGTTACTTAATGTGTGGTACAATTTATTCGGTTCGCTAATGTACCAAAATGCTTTTTATAAATTAACTAAATGATGAAGGATCTGGCCAATTATATTCAATTTTACTGTGGAACTCATTACTAGTTTTAATGTCGTTGCCTTCAACGTTCCATCACCTGACGTACTTCGTAAACATTTAGAACTCAAACTGCTCAATAAATAGAAATACATCACACAGACCTAAAGCAATCAGTGGATGGGTAAAATTTATCCACTTTACAATTAGTTAAACAAGAGGATATATTTCCCAATCATCTGATGGACAATTAAACAATCGTGTCATCACAATACCAAAGACACCGAGTTCCCACTCATGTTCACGAAGCACTACCCTTTACAAATCCACAATAAGTTGTCTAACAGGCCTCCAAATGCCCTGGTACGACCGAGAGCGGGGAGATACTGCTCTCCCTCTCGAAATGCTCCCACATGGCCACGAGTATACAGCCAATGCCAGGGAAGTCCTACTCACTGTATTCTCGCAGTGGGGGTGTTGTTTACGGCATTGAGAGGACGAAAAGGGAATGTCTGACGCTTTAACCAGATTAGTGGACACGGAGAGTTCACCTAGGACAGTTGGAAAACCCTGATTACAAACCAATGGTGCACATGGTCTCCAGTATCCTGAAGGAACAAATGGCGTGCGAAACAATTATTGGTCACCGGCTACCATGTGACTGCATCTCCTTACGTTGCTCCACTGCCTTGTGGATCAGACCTTTATGTCGAAGGCTCCGGACGTGGCTCCCTTGTAGAACGACCTGCTTCGGTCTGGGCACCCGGGCAATATCCCAGCCCTCACACAAATCAAATGATATTTGTGTGGCGCTTATGTATCTGGTGCCCCCTTGTACCAGTATCTATGTGTTTAAATAAGTAAATGTCTAACAGTTTTTGATGCTTTTGATATATAGTGATTCCTCAGTTCAACGAAAGTGTGTACGTTTTCATACGATTTGCAGATGCTTCACTTCTCAATAGATTTAGTGTTGATAGAACCGAGTTCAAGATCATTTACTCTCTTGAGTTGCTTTTTTTGTGAAAGCTAGTGATACTATCCAGTTGTCCAGTCTTAAGTATGTGGGGCGGGATGTCAACTTGTAACCTGGTGGTTGAAAGTCTAGTGCTTTTCACTCGTAATATATCTCATACATGTTCGGTAGATGATTTTTCGTCGTTGCCTTAAGTCAGTCCTCCGTTCATACTAGAACTAGTTCAAGAAAAGAATTTTTTTCGCTTTGAATTAAAATAATATCACATCCTTCACTTTAATTTTCGGAATTTTATCTTCTACTATGAGATCTATTTAGCATGCTTAAAAAACTCAAGTATTTTTATGGTCATTTTGATTCGCTTTTTGTTTATTGTATTGTTTTCATTAATATTTTCGAAGGGCTAAAACCGAATGACCAACAATATCGACTTTGTGTCAGCTATCCATTGTGGCCATTCAGAATCAAAGTTAACTAGATCAAATTCTGACGCACCTTTCAAATCGATACGCAGAGTTCGTTTTCCTGAAGATGACAAACTTATATCAGATTATTTAGAACCATTCCGATTAAGTAATTAAACAATTTTGATTATTTTTCACGAACTAGCTTTTACTTCCTATTTGTGTGAAAATGCTTTGTATCGAATAACTTAGAAAACAGTGGTGATTCGTTACAAATAGATAATAGAATATTGAAGCAACATTCCATAGTTTTGGTATTGTTTGTAAAATTGCTATTTTCATCCCGATTAAAAGTGAAAGCTAATGTGAATGCTACTCTTTTTCCATCAAATGCACATATAGTTTTTGACACGGAAATGGTCAAAAACGTTCATGCTGATTTTGTATCTTAGATTTATGGGGCAACCACAGCAAACATTTGGATTGATTAGATATTGCGGAAAAACCGTATAAATGCCCCAGATATATTTAATTAATTTAAAGATGAGTGACATAAAAGATAGAAGACTTTATTTTACTTTGCAAATAGTACAATTATTCATTTTTATGGGATTCATAAACATGTATATCTACCCTCAGCCGTGTCCAAGATATATTGCATAAAAAGGCAGTTCAACAGCTAATCCAATTTAGTTGATCCAAAGTCTAACTAGATCACATAAGTTGAATATTTCTTAGTATACTGATGTACTTACATCCACTGCTGTTATTGAATTCTAGTTATTTAGTTCTTTTTCTTTTTGGATGTTGGGACTGTTTATAGCTTTATTTCAGTTTGTTAATTTGCCGCCATTCAGATGTGCAAATCCGATTTGTTTCTCTAGCTTTAGACTACACCTTATAAATATCTCCATAGGTGGTTACATTAAACACAACTTTACTTCGAAAAGATTCGTGATCTGACATGAAATCCTGCGATCATATATTTTATCCCAAAAGTAGACTACTGCATCCAGCATCTCGTACATGCTTTGGGTGATTTAAATTTTCTTAAATCCGAATTAGTCTTTCATGTTGACTTGAAAAAGAAGTGCAGACCTTTTCTAAATCTTTATGCCATTATTTCGTACCGATTTTATTAGTTCTTCTTAAACTATGTTCTGTATCTTCATTTACAACTACCATTAACATTATTACTTTGGTTTACTTTGTCTTTTCGTTGTCTCAATAGTTGGTTAGTCATAAAGAACATAGAACCTGGGAGATTTGTGCATCGGTCGAAGTTTCTGTGCCGTATTTGCATAAAGGGATGAAATTATCAAGACGAATACCAGAGTGGCTTTAGTTTAAGAGGTAGTGAAAAAGATTAACCTAATATTAGTGGGACATTTGACAGCCTGGGTTGATACTCACTTATGCACCTTTCTGGCAAGTAGTTACTATAGCGTAAATACAATCTTTAAATTGAGTCTGATATGTCTTAAATTGCTCAATCATTTGGTTTGTTAGATTTTATATTTTTGGTGTTTACTTAACTTAGTTTTGTCCTATCCCTTTATTTCCTGTAGCAAGCATTATTGTTTTAACGTAACTAGTATTTTCATTTTGTTCCTTCAGTTCCAGATAATTGTTCAAGTGAAGAACTTCAGGCGGCGTACTTTTCTTCTTGTTTTGAGCATAGAATAACTCCCATTAATTTTTTGTTAGAACAAATAAAGGTGGGCTCTTTGATTATTTAGTGTAGTTTTATTATTTATTTAAACACATAAACATTGGTACAGGACGGCATCAAATTTATATGCATTACACCTCGTCATTCGATTTGTGTGAGGGATGGGATACTGTCGGGGCGCCAAAACTGGGGCAGATAGTTTTCTTAGGAAACCACTTCCTGAGCCTTTGACCCAGAGGTATAGTTCACCAGGAATGGCGCAACGTTGGGAGATGCAGTCCTATGGTAGCGGGTGACCAAAAACAGGTTTATGCGCCGTTTGTTCCCTCAAAATCCTGGATCTTTTGTCCATCATTGGTTTGTAGTCAGGGTTTTCTAACTCCCCTAGATGGATCCTCCATATCCGTCAGTCCGGTTAAAGCGCCCGACATTCGCTTTTCGCCCTCTAAATTTCGTAAACAACACACTCCGCGAGAAAGCAGTGAGTGGGACTTCCGTGACAGTGGCTATATACGCGTTGCCATGTAAGAGGGAGAGCGGACTCTCTCCATCCTCTACCGTACCAGGGCATTTGGGGTTAATTTAGTATAAAACTGGAGTGAAATCGACTTGTTTTTTTCTATGGTTATTCATGAATGGTATTCTGCCTATAATTTTATGCTATACTTACTTACTTACGCCTGTTACTCCTCGTGAAGGAGCATAGGCCACTCACCAGCATTCTCCATCCAACCCTGTCCTGGGCAATCCTTTCTAGCTCCGTCCAGTTGTAATTCATCCTTTTCATATCTGCTTCTATTATCCGACGCAATGTGTTCTTTGGCCTTCCTCTTTTTCGCTTCCCTTCAGGGTTCCAAGTTAGGGCTTGCCTCGTGATGCAGTTTGACGATTTGCGTAATGTATGTCCTATCCATTTCCATCGTCTTTTCCTAATTTCTTCTTCAGCTGGAAGTTGGTTTGTTCTCTCCCACAGAAGGCTATTGCTGATGGTATCCGGCCAGTGGATGTTGAGTATCTTGCGTAGGCAGCTATTTATAAATACTTGTACTTTCTTGATTGTGGTTGTTGTAGTTCTCCAAGTTTCAGCTCCATACAGTAGAACTGCCTTGACGTTCGTATTGAAGATTCTCACTTTGATATTGGTTGAAAGTTGTTTTGAGTTCCATATGTTCTTCAATTGTAGGAATGCGACCCTTGCTTTGCCGATCCTCGCCTTTACGTCTGCATCTGAACCTCCTTGTTCATCGATGATGCTTCCTAGGTATGTGAAGGACTCTACATCTTCCAGAGTTTCGCCATCAAGAGTGATTGGATTGCTGTTTTCCGCTTTGAATTTGAGGACCTTGGTTTTCCCTTTGTGTATGCTGAGGCCTACTGATGCAGAGACTGCTGCTACACTGGCTGTCTTCATCTGCATCTGTTCGTGTGTACGTGATAGGAGGGCTAGGTCGTCTGCGAAGTCCAAATCGTCTAATTGATTCTGAGCTGTCCATTGTATTCCGTGTTTTCCTTCAGATGTCGAGGTCTTCATAATCCAGTCGACCACCAGAAGAAAGAGGAAGGGAGAGAGTAAACAGCCTTGTCTGACTCCAGTCCTTACTTGGAATGCATCTGTCAGCTGTCCTCCATGCACTACTTTGCACTGTAGTCCGTCGTATGAGTTCCGGATAATGTTGACAATCTTCTCAGGAACTCCGTAGTGTCGAAGAAGTTTCCATAATGTCCTCCTATCTACACTGTCGAATGCCTTTTCATAATCAATGAAGTTGATGTATAGTGATGAGTTCCACTCAACTGATTGTTCGACGATGATCCGTAGTGTTGCAATTTGGTCTGTGCACGACCGATCCTTACGGAATCCAGCTTGTTGATCTCGAAGTTGGGCGTCTACTGCATCCTTCATCCGGTTCAGCAACACTCTGTTGAAGACTTTCCCTGGTATTGACAGTAGTGTAATGCCTCTGTAGTTTTCACATTTGCTCAGATCTCCTTTCTTTGGAATCTTGACGAGGTGTCCTTCTTTCCAGTCCATCGGCACTTGTTCCTCCTCCCAAATCTTTTTGAATAGAAGGTATAGCATGCTTGTGGTTGCTTCGATGTCTGATTTCAGTGCTTCAGCTGGTATGTTGTCGGGTCCTGCTGCTTTCCCGTTCTTGATTTGTCTGACGGCCATTCTAATTTCTTCCGTCGTTGGTGGGTTGACATCTATAGGAAGATCTATGTGTGCTGCTTCGATGTCCGGTGGATTCATTGGAGCCGGCCTATTCAGGAGTTCCTCGAAGTATTCCACCCATCTGTTACGCTGTTGTTGAATTTCGGTGATTGGCTTGCCTTCTTTGTCTTTGACCGGCCTCTCTGGTTTACTGTATTTCCCTGCTAGTTTCTTCGTTGTATCGTGAAGCTGTTTCATATTTCCTTCTCTAGCAGCTTTTTCTGCCGTCGTTGCTAGTTCTTCCACGTATTTCTTCTTGTCGGCTCTAATGCTCCTCTTCACTTGTTTGTTTGCTTCTATGTATTCAGCTTGTGCTTGGACTTTCTCTGCTCGTGTTCGGCTGTTGTTAATTGCTGCCTTCTTGTTCTTCCTTTCTTTGATCTTGTCCAGTGTTTCTATAGAGATCCATTCCTTATGATGGTGTTTCTTTAGGCCCAGAACCTCTTGACACGTTGAAGTTAATGCTTCCTTGATGCCTTTCCAGTTGTCCTCCATACTAGTTTCTTCTTCATTCAGTAGATCTTGTAAGGCTTGGAACCTGTTGTTGAGAGCTATCTTGAATTCATTGAGTTTGTCAGTATCTCGAAGGAAGGCTGTATTGAACCTTTGTAGTGCTGTTTGTCCACTTGTCCAGTTCTTTTTTAGCTTCAGTTTTAAATTGGCTACAACTAGGTGGTGATCTGAAGCTACGTCAGCACCTCTCCTGGTTCTCACCTCTTCCATTGTCCTTCGGAATTTTTTGTTGATGCAAATATGATCTATTTGGTTCTCTGTAGTGTGGTCCGGTGAGATCCATGTAGCCTTGTGTATACGCTTGTGTGGAAATATTGTGCCTCCTATGACCAATTTGTTGAATGCACACAAATTTGCAAATCTTTCTCCATTTTCGTTTCTTTCTCCCAGTCCATGTCGTCCCATAATATCTTCATATCCAGTGTTGTCTATTCCGACTTTGGCATTTAGATCTCCCATCAGAATAGTTAGGTCCTTTCTTCGGCATTTCTCAATGATTGACTGCAGCCGCTCGTAGAACTGATCTTTAATGTCGTCGTTGCTATCATTGGTGGGTGCTATACGGAACTTGTTAAAGATGTTAGTTTAAACATTATACTAGAAGAAACTGATTTAAGGCAAAGTATATTATTTAGAATTATAGCATGTGTATTTAGGATCATTTTCAATATAAAATGAAATAAAATCGTTAATGTTGGGGTGACTAATATAAAGTGTTAAGTTGTGCGATAAATGATCAAAATAAATATGATTAACATGGAGTGCTAGAGATAATAATGTAATTACTAATCAGAAATCACGTAGTATGTAGGATAATATGGATTGGATACGAATCGATAAATAAGAGCGAATGCTGAATAAGTTTCTTACACACGTTGGCAGGTGTTATAATAATAACAATAATAATAATAATAATGACAATAATAATATGTATGGATAATATAAGTTTAAGCTATTAAAATGACTACTGACCAAATTACGTCACCATATCATAACTAATTAACTTAGAAGTTGACCAAGGCAACAGGAGCAGTTGAACATATTTCTTCTAGACTCAAAGCTCCGAGTTTTGATCCAAATAGCTATTGCTTCAGCCGTTTGAAGGATTCCTAGTCTGACGGATTTAGATAGATTGCCGTTAACACGGTATATTATTGTGAAGGATTGCTCCATGTTGGCTGTACTGAATTAGCTAAAATCGAGTTCTTAGTAGTTTCAACTATACCTTTGCTTAACCATACCGGAAGGTGCTCACGAGCCCGAAAATGCAAATCTCCAGAAAACTGATGTAATTTGCATTAAACCTGGATATTTTTTGATTATTAATTTGGGTATATAATTGTTATGACATGCATCTACCACTTATCATGTGACAAAATCTCCAATTAGAACATTGGCTTATATGACGTCTCGCATAACCTCGCCTGTCCAGAATATAGACCTAATCTCCACTAAATGAATAAAGTATTTAAGGCATACATGGTTTATATACAAGCAGACTTAGCTACATACATAACGAACCAATCAAATCGTTGCTTAAGCTCCCACCACGTTAATCTGGTTTGATGTGTCTGTAAAGTATCCCTGCTGCATGTGACCTACCAATTGAAAGACATTATTACCCTATTATATTAGTATGATTCATAATTTTTGTTCATTTCGATGAGATGCGTAATACTGGTCGGAGCTTTTGAGGATTTGTCCTATAGCTATACTACAAGAGCTGTAAACGCGATACTGGCGATCCCATAATCTATGTGAAAGTTCTAGTTAGAACAAGGACAACTTGGTGAAGAGGTCTTACTAAACAAATGTACTTTCATCCTATAGGTTTCTGGTTCATTTCTTATGTCACCCTGTGGCCACCACAAAAATCTAAGGGCATCGCAATCCTATGACAGGACAATCACTTGATGAAACATAGCTTCAATATCTGCCATGAGACCTACTGGTCACGCCGAAATCTTATGAAAACATCTTCCAGATTGTTAACTAAATCTGAACCAGAATACACGTTTTTATTCAGGGACGTCCCGGTGTATTGTGCTGCACAGTTGAATACGATTCTTAGCTTATTAGGTTTTTTCCAACGGAAGACAGAATGGTGCAGTAAATACCAAACCCGACACCTAATGGAGTACTCTATAGTATTCTCGGCGTAACCCCGTTCAACATACTGTGCCATCACATTAAAATATTCCTTATGCAACCTCTGGCCACGGATGAGCCGGTTTCTCAAGGAATTTAATCTACTTATCGCTAGTTTTCTATTATTAGGTAGGCTTTGTTGGTGACGCCAGGGTAAAGCTATTTGGTAATGCCCGTTCACTAACTGTATAGATTTGGAGATAGCATCCAAGGCTTTACAATCTTCAACCGACATGAGCACACGGTGATTTGGGTCTTCTTCAAAGCCCATCTTATATAACTGATCTAATCTTGCTTCTAGTTCATCTTTAGACGATAGATAATTTATGATACCTATATATCTCGTGGTCTCATTGTAAGGTCCAAACAACGTCCACCCTAAAGGAGTTTTTATAGCGTATGGCTCGTCAGATTTTCCCACTCTCTTCTCTTTTATTTCATGCACCTCAGGCAAATTACACCCAATCGGTGTTTTGACGTCTTCGTTGCTAACTCATGGGAGGGTCACGTTGCGCTAGTGTGAGACGACGATGCCATCTGAGATATCATTGTTAACGTCCTACATAGCATAGGCAATCTCTCGACTGTACATACCTTTGGAATTCTAAGTGATGAAGACGAATATAAAGATGAAACTTCTAGTCGAACCACTTTACAATGAAATGCGGATTGGCTATCCAGCGTTTTCAATAAAAGTGTCTTAGATTCTAGCTAGCTAGAAGTTTTGGTTTATTATATATATATATATATATATATATAATCAGTGACCGCGCAAACCAATTATACACAGTGTGAACAGGCCAATTCACTATGTAATAAGATATGCAAACGCATAAGGATTGGCTTTTCATATACATAAATAATTTCTGTTACAGTAATTGTTTTATTGTTTCATAGGGAATCGATTTATCGATTTGTAATGAACGTTACAGTCGTCTAAGCCTAAGAGGTACGTTTTTATATTTATAATTGTTTATTTATTCTATTTGAAAGTAATATGTATACCGTTATGCATATCACTGTATACACACATAACTCACGTTATCCGTTTAGGTGTGTCTCATTAGTTTGTGGAAATAAAGGTCACTTGCAGTTCTTTTCATCAGATTGGAGACCAATTTTATATCTCTATTGGTGTATGTATATAGTTTCTGAGTTGATTAGGTACATAGGTACACAAGATTAAACTGAAGGTGGGAATCATTTGATTTAATTCTTATATTTAACGGGCTAACGAAATAATTGATTCATTAATTGGAAACATGTAAAGCCTGATACAAGGATGCATCTAATCAAGATGGTTACTTTTCAAAACAATATAGTTACGGAAAGTCAACAGAAATAAACAAATGAGTATGTTAATGATTTATATGTTTGTCTGGTTATTATCAAGATTAAGCCCGACCCAATCTCGATGCGTATGGTTTTTCAAACACATCTCAGATCGATAATTTATGACGTCATGTACTCCAACCCCCTTTAGGTTTCCTCCATTGTAATAATATTGAATTTCACATACAAGTAGACTAGTTCAGTTTGGGACGTTTAATATTAGTACAGAAAAAGAATAACAAGCAAAAATACATGCGAGCAAATGCGAAAATGAATAAAGGAATAGATGTTTAATAATGCGATATTCAAGGTTTATTAGAATAGCTTGCTGATGTGGTGTAATAGAATGAAGATAGAAAAATACAATTAGTTTATGTCACAAGAAGATGGTTGATAATATAATTTTGTTAGGTTACGTTGGCATATAGAAACTTCCTAAATACAGTTTTAACAATATTGTTATTCAGTGGCTTGAACTGTTGTTCGACGGAAGTCATAATAGAAACCGATGGCGAGTCTTTTGTACTTTTCTGTTATTCTTCAAAAAATGGCATACATCCAAGATAAATGAAATCTGTCATCTCTTCTTTTTCTCCATTTAGTGTTCTTATATTTTCGTCATTTACGTTATTTTTTTCTAGTTTCCTCTCAATATTCTTATTTCACGTCATTTGATGTAATTGTTGAAACTCTATTTATTGTATTATAGTCGCTGGTACTATGTCAAGCCCACACAGGTTATTCTAGCCTCCGCCAGATCAGTCTATTCATTTATCTCAAGCCATATTTCGACTCTGTCAATTATTCGCTTATTAACGCTGACCGTTTTTATATGATCGCATATATGTTAATTACTTACCCTATTCATTATGTGTCTGTAACTTATTTTTGTTTGACTATAAGTATCGAGTCACGCTTGATTAAACCGAGTTGGCTCATTCGCCTTCTCCATGGCGCGTTATTTCATTTCGCTTCGTTTCTCTGATCGTCTGTCTGGATCAACGGCTGTATGAAATATACGTATTCAAAGTCCATCCTCGTATTTGACTTATTTTATTCCGTTATTCACTAACGTGATTTAAGTCGATCATATACAAGGGTAGCCGAGATATATATTTCGAGACCAATTATTCGTACGATCTAATTGGCGTCAAGATAAACGGTCACTAAAATATACTTCACGATTATTATCATATTTTTTTCTTTTGCCGCACTTTATCTTTAGCAAACGAAACATGTTTTGACAGACCATAACTCTCTCTTCATAGCATATAACTCTTCCACGTTATCCACTAGAGATTGGCAATCTCTGTTAACTTACATATCGTATTTTTTCTAACTGAATCACATTTCTTTTCTTATTGTCTTGCATCCCAGTATTATACTAATCAATAAGCACTTTCAATAATGCTATGCTTTGTCTAGATCAATGTATACATGCTCTTCACTTTCTGTTCTTTTGAAATTATATTCTCACTACTGAACTACGTATTATTTGACCCTTAATTGATTTGTGAATATGTTATCCACTGGTCCTTTGCTCAGACTATTCTATTATCACATTTCCGTAACTTGTTCTTTGAATTGTCTCCATACATAAACCATAAACCAATTTTATGTTTGATTAGCTCCAGAATTCTTTTTTTCTATATGTATCTCCTGATGTATCACGTTGATCTCAAAAAAGTGTACATGTTTATCTATACATATATCAATAGGTAGCTGCAAAACGTTTTCTTTTTTTAAACACTCAACATTGATGAAGAAATAGGTAAGGCTTACCACTAAGATTTTTTTTGCATGAATCAGAATGTATTTATGTGCTGCTAATGTAGATACACTTCATATACATTATATTAACACAGACATCTGTAATATGGATTACACCCAAGTTATATTACATACGTAATTGTGTGATAGTATGAAGTGATATTTTCCTTGCAATCAAGAAATAATTGTCAGATGTAATAAAAGAACTATAGTAATGATGTTATAAAAATGATATCTACTGGTCACCTTTGACCATCTAATTTGTTTTCGTTAGATAAATGAGTTTTTTATGTTGAATTAAAGTGGCTGCAAGCAATAGTGCCACTTCCACTGATTATATCATTTTGACATTTTTGTTATCAGCTTTGTTAATTTGCTTTCCCTTTGGTGTTGTAAAGTGCATTCACTTGAACAAATATAGATTCAGTCTAAGTTCATTCTTTTAGATAATATTGAAACTCACTAGATTATATTACCATCATTCATTTCGGAAGAGAATCAATCGAAAACTAACTCTTCTCTTAGAGCACACATATCAGTCGCTGATCATACTGTTATACTGGCACACTTTCCTCCACATCTTTCCAAAGAACAGGAAGATATGTTAGAGTATAAAAGTATAAAAATGTATTAAAGAACAACTTGAAAAGGGTATTTGTTCCCATTAATCGAAATATTCTATTTATCTATTTAATTGAATTGTAGTTTTGTTTTGCTTCTATTCTAGGTATTCGATTGAATCGATTTCATATTGAATCAATGGAGGCAATATTTCAGCGTGCACATTTTAGAGTAATTGATCTAGAAAATACATTTTTAGACGAACAGGTGACTTCATATCGTTAGCTAGTTATATATATATATATATATATATATATATATATATATATATATATATATATATATATATATATATATATATATATATATATATATATATATTACATGCTAAAGCTGGTTTTCTTAAGAATTTTGTGTAATGCTCTATTCAGTATATACAATAATTCATAAACACAGTACCATTTAAATCATCAATCTATTGATTAGTAGAGAAATAGAGTGATGTGATGTATTAATAAAAGATGTTAGTGTAAAATAAAAATATGTCGAAGAATGTATATGTGTGCGTGCAATACGTTTTATCAAAATATCGAAATACTGGTTAACGAAACAGATTCCTATGAATATGCATTAGGTTAAACTAGCCCTTTTACAGTCAGAGATTGGGACTTTTGTGGTCCTCAACGAATTCAAATTTGAAGTGTAGTTCATCTGATTTTGAGTTAACTTGCAAAGCAACATCTGTCGAGATAACCTCTTCAAGGTGTCGGGAAACGTATCCCCAGTATTGGGAAAGTTTAGTAACTTATCAATAAGCGTCCGAGCTAAGATGTGTTTCAGATCAAATTCTTCGGCTAGTGTTTCGAAGGCTTTACAGCAGCCAACTTCCGACTCTAGTAGGGCCCAGTGTATTATGACTGCCTTAGCTTCGTCACAACACTGAGTAACGTAATTTAAGTTTCCAAATACGATACTCTCGTTAGCGACACACTCTTCGAAACTCCTCATAAAATTCCAGCACTTTGCAGAGTTGCCCTCGAATTTTATAATTTCTCTCTTCGGAAACTTCGAAATGTTCATTATAATATTCAGTAGATCGATACCAGGATAGCTACTAACTTATAATGAAACATTCGATTTCGCAGCTTGTTTCCTTGTTGAATATTTGTTGACAAGATTTTTCTTGCTGTTTTTAGCTCAGTTTTTTTTCAGTCGATTTCCTTCTCTAACCGAACCATAAGTAACCTTTTTTAATTCCGTCTATCATAGAATGAAAGAGAGCGAGAACAAAGAATTGAGCAGAATAACATGAATTCATTTTATTTCGTTAGGTTGTCATCAGCTGCTTACAACCCATAATACTTAAAAATCAAAATTATCGTAAAGTATAAGTGCTTATAACAGTAAGATCAGATGTGTATCATCATGGCAGAGTAATGAAATTGAAAACACAAAGTGTTGTAAATATATATAATATAATAATTATAGAATTAATCTTATAGCCGTTCCTGGTCGATACTATGAGTCTGTGAGCGATTCATGAACAGTTCTGGAAATTCTTCAGTATCACAATACTTATTAGGACGCATCTCAGCAATATGCGTAGTGGTTATTTAATGATAAATGATGTACTGTTCTAACTTTTGTAGGATTCAATCACCTACAGATAAAGTTTTCTAAACCGAATAATTTACTTGTTAAGAAGAAATAATGTAACCTATTTATTAAGCATAGGTTTATTTACTCAGACTAAGTCTTATTGTTTATATGATGACATGATCGATATGTCCAAGTGGAATTAGTTAAAGTGGGGTTCGAACTCGTGACTTGGTAAAAGCTAATTGCTGCCTTTTCAATATATCACCGTTTACCAATATAAAATCTCATTTTTCACCAGTCAAATTATCAGTTAATAAACGTTTTATTCCTAAAAACGTTGTATCATGTAACTAAGTTCCTTAAGGGCTTGTGATTTACGACTGGTAAATCCATGTGTTTATCGTCCACATATTTATTCTTAAAAATGACCTAATTATCCTTGGATGAACACAGCATACTCTGGACTGCTAGAAAATCATCCAATTAATCTTCGACAAAATTATTAGTAAACACTGATTTAAAATCATAAAAGAGGATATTACCATTTATTTTATATATATGTTTTTTTCTATGTCTCTTTGATTTAAATTGTTTCTATAACTTGTTTCAACCTGTGTATAGTAATATTCGTGCGTGTTCTATAAGTTGTGCGCATCTGTCAGTGTCTGAAGTCATTTATTTAAGATGTACGTTCGTATTTATAGTTGTATGGTGAATATAAATTCTGACTTTGGCGTTGGTTTAAAAAACAACTGTCAACCAACGCCAAAGTCAGAATTTTCAATACAAATGTCACGGCAGTTCTACTGTATGGGGCGGAAACTTGGAGAACTATGAAATTTATCATCTAAAAGATACAAACGTTTATTAACAGTTGTCTACACAAAATACTTCGGATCTGTTGGCCAGACACTATCATCAACCACCTACTGTGGGAGAGAACAAACCACATTACAATGGAGGAAGAAATCAGGAAGAAGCGCTGGAAGTGAGTAGGACACACATCGAGGAAAGCACCTAACTGCGTCACAATCGAATGCATTTAACACAAAATTACAGGACTTGTTAATAAAATCTAACAATCATAAAGTAAATGCCTAATTTGCAAAATGTCCATCAATTGTCCCAAAACGTCTCAGACTTCATTGTTCCTGTATTTTCATACAAATTGCATTCTGTTTCCATTCTTTACTGTTCGATCCTCTTGTCTCTCTGCTGGTAGACATTCTATTCACGAGTAACGTCATATATTACTTATATCGATATAAGTAGCACACACCGCAATATATTTAGTACTAAACAACTGCAAATACGAATGTACAGCCTAAGCAAATGATTTCGTCCAAGAGAAAATTTTCTTCGCTGAATTCCTTTATTTTTACTTGTTTATATTTTTTGTTGTCCTATTTGTTTTTTTAATCTATTATTTTCATTCTAGTCTGCTTCGTCACTGTTTGATATGTTACTGCATTATGAAAGTTGTACAGATCTAAGTATAAGTTTAAATTTAAACAAAACTCTTCCTAGTCAAGCTTGGAGTCGTTGTGTTAATTTCATGCGAAAGGTACGTGTCCCATTAACTGTGTGAAAAGATTAATTTTTCTCTTTAATTCGTTCATTGTGATTTCATTTTCTACATTATTTATTGTTTGTAGTACAACCAAAAAGGTAACCGAGTGGAAGCTTGAGAGTATCTTCACTACAATTTTATATCAAAATGAGTGTTCAGTGGACTGAATTATATTTTTTAACAGATTAAAAATTGATGATGATTAACTTGTTCATTTTCATCTAATTAGCTTTCGTGGAATTTTACTATAATTTTACGCTTAAGTGTTCTATTCTTGCACAGCATGATAAATTAAGTGATATTTCTTTAATTAATAACTTTTTAATTTGCAGTGTATAATTTAATATAGTTTGTTAGTTATCCCTATATCATTAAAATATTTTACCAATACATAACCACCTCAATACATCGTTCTCTAGTTGAATCACATCTCGACAATAAAGAAAACGTTAAATGAAATACATACACATACAGGTAAAGCAACACAATGTTGAATATATCATTAAACATTAGTAAATATGTTTTACAGGTTAAGTGTACGTCGTTTTCACCCTTGTCACACCTCACCTTACCTCACGGGTTTCCGTCTCTGGCGGTAAGGCCCTTTGAAGAACGGATCTAACACGATAAAAACTTCCCACAAAATGACTGGCAGAGCACTTTAGGGATTAGTTCGACTGGCCTTCAGCCACACTTCGCTCTCACACGATCTCCAGTCAACCTGAATGGCAAGTTAATGTAGGCCCTCCGTCTCTTTACGAAGTTGAAAAAAGCCATAGGAAATCTGAAACGAGGGAGAGCAGCAGGCCCTGACAGGTTTACTCCTGAGATTTTTAAGGATGATGGTTCAGTATTAGCAGTGAGATTAACTGAGGTATTAGGTAGAATTTGGGAAATGGACGTAATCCCATCTGACTGGTCTCAATCACTGATTGTGCCAGTCTATAAGAAAGGACAAAAGTCCTTTTGTGACAATCACAGAGGAATCAGTTTGACCAATTAATGTGTCTAAAATATTAGCTTCAATAATACTTCGACGCCTAACTAAAGCTCATGAAGAACAGACTAGAGAAAATCAGGCTGGTTTTCGACCTGGACGTGGTTGTATAGATCAGATATTCACACTACGTCAGGTTCTAGAACACAGACACACGTTCAGACGCCCCACAATCGTAGATCATATCACTTCGTTTCCTGACGTTGCTTCACTGCAAATGAGGAAAATTAATATTTTTTACCATATTAAACTTGACACTGTTTAGTATCATTGTGCTATTTTTCTTACTTCAATCGATATTTTGTGAATAGTTTCAATTCTGAATTATCTTTGTTGGTGAGATATTGATCAAGTTCTTATTATAATTGGTTAGTTACCGAGTTGTAATGACCGATTTCATATTTGTCCTAATGATTTAGTCCTAATCAAATTCCAATATGGTCACTAGTATAGGTAATCCAACATCGTGTGCATTATATTTTATCTTTATTACCTCCAACCACCTTACAGTTCGTATTATCTTTGGGACAGCAAGAACAAAAATTTGAGCAGAATAACTTTAATTTATTTTATTTCGTTTGGTTCTTGTTAGTTGCTTACAACATGTATTATTTGAAAATAGTAATTACAAAATAGGTTCCAATTACTTATATTCTTACTTATTGTCAGCGTTCATTCATTACGTAACTACTTGCTTCTAAAACTTTTGACTTTTGTTACTATCAATGTTGTAGAATGTTCTTTTACACTGGGTAAACATTTACAATATTTTATTTAGTCTATGATATTTATTGACTCCCTTGCTATACTATACTGATATTTGATCCTATTAACCTCTAAATAAACTCCATCATTTAAGTAATTTGACCTCATTTTGTAATTATGATTTGTAGATAATACAGGTTTTAAGCAACTGACGAGAACCCAACGAAATACATTGAATTCATGTTATTCTGCTCAAATATTTGTTCTTAAACTCTTCACGATGATAAAGGGAACTATGTATATTGAAATTCGTAATATTGTTTTCAATCAGTATTTTAATTGTTTTTCTAACTTGTATTCTAAATTACCCGCAGATATATTTTATAAGTATAATTTTTAAAAATTTATGAGGGTACCAAGTTCATTTCTTTGTTTTATATTAATTTTTATTCATAGTCATCTGCTCTACGTCGATTCACACTGAGTCATACTCCATTACGCTTAGAAAATTTTCATGGTCTAAGTTTCTATGGTCTATGCTTGGAACGTTTACATTTTATTGATTGTAATTTAACCGGTCAAGCATTATATGGACTTATGCAATGGTTGTACATCCTTTGAGTTCAACAAGTTTATATCCACCAACACGAGACAGATCATGTAATTCAAGTAGAGGACATAAATTTCGTGGTTGGAGACATCGTAGACACTCTTATACTACTTCAGCATTAAATTTATCAAATACAAGTACTACAAACACTATTAATACTAACACTACCACTATTAATGATACTAAACCTTCTATTTGGGAATTAAAATTAGGTTTAATGAATAATAAATTGACTTCTTCAGATGTTGAAGCAATACTACCACTAATTCGTCATCAGTTATTTATTCCAAGAATTTCGGGACCTGAAACTGTTAAATTTGAAGGTCATAATAATAATAATAATAATGAAATTAGCTCATCAGATGCCCTTGTAAACAATAGTTCACATACGAAATGTACACAACTGAAAAAATCCAACTCATTGTCGTCATCATCGTGTGATTTTCTTCCAGTTGGAGGGATTGGTTATTTATTGGAGTTGAATTTGTCTCATAATAATATTGGTGTAAGTTGTTCTTTTAGTGTACCAAAAGACCATACCCTTGTTGTTTTGTTTATACATTCAAAAGGGGGAATATTAACTGGTTAGTTCGAGGGTTTTTTGTTGATTGATGATTTTTGGTATCTGTTGTTTCATCTGACACAATGGTAAATCATTTCAATTCGCTACATTTTGAGATAGATTAATGGGAGAAAAATTGACAAGAACAATAAAATATGCATAAAATTTGTTAAAAGTAAATAATAATGGATGTTGAGTGTGAATTAGACGATACTAGAATAGAGGTTTTAACCTTTAGTTGTGTATTCGAAATTATCATACCGTATATTATTGATCTTGTTTGTAAAATCGTTGTATTGCAAAATATAGGTATCTTAAATAGGTACATATTATGGAGTTTCTTTTGTTTGGGTTTTTTGTCTATATTTTTTAAATGTAAATAAATGCCAAAAGCTCAAATATTAAATCATTTGACTCAGAGGAACAATATGAAAACATGTGATGTATACTTGAATTTTTACTTCAAATTTGCGAATCTACCCACACGTAAGCCTTTCAGCTTAGCATCCAAATCTATCAAACATTATTTTATGATTTATTTTAGTGAATAATGAGTAATACTGTATAGTAATTTAAACAGTGTTTAGACTGGAATCACTGATATGTAGATTGCTCGTATACTACTGAATAACTCATAATCAGCTTTCACTGTCGTATCTGAATTCTATTTAAAGAGTTCATCTTCTATATGTAGGCTCTAATATTCTTAAGGAATAAAACGATATACTTATCCTCGCTAAATATAGCGTCTTATGAAAGCCTGTGATGACAATTAAAAAAAACCCGGATCATTCCGGCGCGGTATTATTTCACAATCTACTTTGTATTACTTTATGACTGTAAATTATAACCTTTGAAGACATAAGATGGGATGTTAATAATTAACCTTATGCGTTTTCTATGGACTACTAGTGTATGAGAAAACCACTGAGTGATTAGTGCAGAGCTTAATTGTGAAACTCTAATTATATATGAAAGTGTATGGTTTCGTCAAACTAGGTTTCTGAAACACATCCTACATATATACTTGGCTTTATCTTGGAAAACTTTACTGGTTAATCTAGGAGTAGATTGTAAAAAGACCAAAGGTATCTTAATGAAGATGTAGGACTGTTATTGTGTACTATATTAGGCGCTGAGATTTTTATGGTTAGGTTCCGTAAGATTATTGTTAAATAGGATTGGATATCTTATATGAAAGGTAAACAATATGTTAAAGATAGTAAAGTATTAATACTAATTGAATGAATGAATTGTGAATGTTCATATGAAATAAATTACATTGGATAAGATTCTTTGTTAAAAAGAACAAAAAGACGGAATCGTCCAAAAAATTAAAGAATATAAAAAATATCAAAAATCGGAGTCATAGTAACAAAACCAATTATATAAAGTGTTTCTGTACACACTGATCTAGGTTTCTATGGTGTATAGTTAACGATTTTTCTATAAAAAAGAAAAAAAGATTTACGCTCCCATCTGTCGGTAGATTGTGTTTATTCTTATAAACTCTATAGAGGACTGAATAATTCAAAGTTGAAGTTCTACTGTGACATGCTATAAAGTAATCTCTTATATGTCGAAAAAATGTTCCTCAATAACAGACAATTATTTTTCTAATTCTGACATGTTAATTACATTGTTGATTAAAAATAAATTCCTCTTTTTAGAAATGTCATTATTTGTTTAATTTATAAATTAAATTTTTTGCTTTATTTACATAAAAATTTAATAATAATAATTAGTTTTTTAATGTTTATTAATGTTCATAGGATGATGGTTTAGGTATATTGTGTACTGGACTGCTTCAATCTTATCGAAATCGTTTACGTGAACGTTTCTCTACGTTGAATGATCAAGAAATTCTTAAACTAACCACTATGTCATCATCACCATCAACAGAAAAAAGCTCCGATTCAAATTCTAATCGCTGTTGTACACAATCAATACCAATGAAAATTTGCAGCTTAGAACGTCTTTATCTTGTAGACAATAATTTAAGCATAGATGGTATGCAATCATTGGCTATTGTATTAATGCAAACACCAAAATCACTAATCTCTTTTGTTGGCGGTTTAATTAGCTTAGATTTAAGTAACAATGTAAATATTGGCGATAAAGGTGTTGAAATATTGTGTGAAGGTTTAATCAGAAACTATAGTTTAAAAGAATTATATCTTCGTTCCATTAATATGTCTTTTTCAGGTAAGTTAATATTGTGTGTATTATCGCTTGTAATTGTAATATCTTCCCATTTAAATAAATTTTAAATGTAACTAATGAACAGTGTAGTTGGATATTGTTTTACATAATATTGTGTATTATGTGCGAAGATATACACATTCCTTGACCGCTATAGTCAGAAGTTCGTACTTACCTACTAATGAACATTGAATGTTAAATGAATAAATTATTGATTCATAACTATATGTAAAATTTCAAATTTGGTAGTGAATTTATTTTTTTCATCACCAACTGTAACTGAAGTAGCCAATTATAAGTTCTTGTTTCTACTTCTGTATGCGAGTTGGCTTTTCTATGTGGTTGTCCGAATTGAAGTTAAGGAAAAGAAGATTGAACCTGTGTAACACCGGGTTAATAGCCTAGAAGTTAAGCTACTGAACCATGACTCTACAATTTAATTTGATATCTGTTCGTAATGTGATCATGGAAACTAATTTGTGGATCGGCATACTAGATCGGTATTGAGTATTCACTATTTTGCAAAACTTGGAGCCAAAATAGAGCGTCTCTTTGATGCTTTTTTGCTTTATTACACTCTGTTTTCAATGTATATTTTCATGGTAAATAAGCAGATGACGTATACACACATTTTTGTCACAACGGAAATTTACGGTTTCCAATTCCCCCTCCTCCTCTGTTTTTATCTTCAGGATTCCAAGTTAGCTCTTGCTTCGTGATGCAATCTGGTGATTTCCTTAATGTGTGTTCTATCCATCTCCGGTGTCTTTTCCTAATGTACTCTTCATCTGGAAGATGGTTTGCTCTCTCCCACAGTAGGCTGTTGCTGATGGTATCTGATCAACATACACTGAGTATCTTGCATAGACAGTTGTTTATAAACACCTGTACATTTTTGAAAATGGTTGTATTACTTCTCCAAGTTTCAGTTCCGTACATCGGAACTGTCTTGACGTTCGTATTGAAGATTGTGATTTTTATATTTGTTTACAGTTTTTGGGTTGCATTTGTTCTTCAACTGTAGGAATGCGGCCCTTGCTTTGCCGTTCCTTGCCTTTACGTTTGTGTCTGATCCTCCTTGTTCATCAATGATGCTACCCAGGTACATGAGACTGTCCACCTCTTCCAGAGTTTCTCCATCAAATGTGATTGGGTTGGTGTTCTCCGTGTTGTATTTCATGATCTTGCTTTCTCTTTTGTGTATGTTGAGGCCCACCACTGCAAAAGCTGTTTCATCTCCACTGCCTGTCTTGACCTTTATTTATTGATGTGTATGGAGTAGAAGAGCTAGGTCACCTGTGAAGTCATCTAGCTGCATGCAAGCTGCCTATTGTATTTCTTGCTTTCCTGAGATTTAGTGGTCTCCGAAATCCAATCAACCATTAAAAGAAAGAGAAAGGGTGAGAGTAAGCAGTCTTGTCTGACACCCGTCTTCGTTTATTATTATTATTATAAATATTACCATTTTGAAAAATAAGTATATATTTATGCTTGTACAACTTTGAAAATGAATTCTCCGAGAAGTGAACTGTTCAGCTGTCCTCCATGCACGACTTTGTAGTGTAATCGGTCGTATGAATCCCGGATGATGTTGGGGATTTTCTCAGGTACACGAAGATGTCGAAGAATTTTCCATAAGGTTCTCCTATTGACGCTATCAAACGTCTTCTCATAGTAAAGAAAGTTGATGTACAGTGACAAATGTCATTCAATTGATCGTTTAACAATTATCTATAGTGTCACGATTTGGTCTGTACATGTATACAGGTTCTTGTAGTCGACAAAGTTACACTTTTTGTTGTTGTGTTTTATTCAAGGAATATTTTGACTTATTGTCTAGTTAGTGGAGCATAACTTGTTTAAAAAAGTTCCAAGATTTATTTAATTGTTGATATTTCTTAAATCACATACCATAAAACCTTATTGAAACTGTTGTTTATCAACTGAATGATTGCATTTCGTGGAAAAGAAACTTAGTTTTAGTTCAATTTCTTGTTCTTCATTGGTATTGTATTGTAATATTTACTATAAAGACCAGTGACTTAATAATTTAAATATTCACTTTCCAAATACTGGTTCCCATTTTCTGAGGTGTGCTGCATCACCAACACTCAAGCAGTTAAAGTATACAGCTCAAACTAAACTGCGTAAGTTTGCACTTCGTAAACAGTTCATATTTGTAGTTAAATTCTACCCACAAGAAATAGCAACCATAGTGTCAAGATTCCAAAAAGAATCTGCTAATAATCCATAGATAAATTTAGAGCGTTCAATCAACATAGTTTGCTAATTTCCAATACAATTTTATGCATATATCCTACAGTCCCTACAACCTTGGCTGTTGATTAAGTGTTTATCGATGAAGATAATTATAAAGCACATATATATTGTGCACAAATTTTAATTTTAGTATTTTAAAAGTAATTTTCATAAAAAATGTAACACGACAACTTGGGAGTCACTGGAAACAAGGGAGGCAGTGTTTCATTCTACTGTATACGTTTGTACGGTACTAGTAAAAATGTTAATTTGTCCGTAGAAACTGCGTAGATCGCAGTAAGCATGATACCTCTAAAGCAGTGCGTTCTTGAAAAGAGAGACAACTAATCATCATCAGTCATACTAAAGCTACAAACGAGTTATTGAAAGTAGGTTGTTTTTTATCGGGGTGGAGGACCAGTTAAATTGATGTTTACATAATCGTACGTTTTCATTTTATGATTTCCTCGTGTAATTACTTTTGTATTAAAGTTTATATCATATGTATGTAACATCATTTAGCTTAATTATTTTCATGTTTTATATATAGAGGTCACTTATTAAAATGATCATACGATACTAATGAAATAAATGTACCAATTAGCATAGTTTAGATAAGTTATTCACTAATAATTTACTTATGATTTATGGCAATAAATGTTGATTCCTATATAAATAAAAAAAAAATTCGATTGTTTGGTTGGCATCAGATTGTCACGAAGGAATCTGTCCTGAAATGTCGAACAACATTAAATTACAGTGTTAATACCCATCTTCATTACTGGATATTATCGTGCTTACGAATAATAAATTTTTGTGATGCATAATTGATTGTTATCTGTTGCAAGTGTAGTTTATTTTAATGGGTGAATGCGTTTCTCTGATGGAATCACTTGTTTAACAATTACAATTCAGCGTCATTGTTTTGTTCAAATAGTGAGTAGTTTATTAGTCACTTGGATGTAAGTATCAATCAAATAGATTATTCGAGAGGTTTTTCTACAAACTATTAAACTGTTTTCTTGATACTTTTGATATGCAAAGTACACTCTATCGTATGCTTATTCAATTTTCGCCTTTTTACTTTAATAAAAACACTAGGAATTTTCGCTTTATCCAGTTTTCTCAGTGAATCAAAGTGTCTAAAGTATTTGGATATACGCAACAATAATTTAGATATAGCCTCTATAATGGCTTTATCAAAAACTTTATTCATTAATAAAACATTAACAAGTCTGGTTTCAGATGCACATCGTTGGGCGAATTCTCAACTGGATCTATCTGATGTAGGTTCAATTTAATGATATATATAATGGAATATACTCGTTGAGACATAAGATAAAAGAGATTGGTTCAGCCAACAGTCCTCTTTTCGGCAAATTCAGATAGATAAAGAATTATAATTGAAAAGAGAAGGCTCAGAGTGATATGGTGTTGAAGTTGAGATGGACTGTAGTCGGGTGAATAGTGGGAACAAAAACAAATCATCTGAGACTAAATGGTTTATAACGATGAAGATAGAAGGAATGCAGATTACTGTGAACAAAGAAAAGGAAGAAAAAGAAAAGTTACGAGAGATTAAGACTGTGGTAGAAGAGAAGGTTGTACAAGTTTCTTTAGTACACAAAATTGTGGTCCTTCTAGATATATAGCTAGTGCTTCGATAATGCTAAAAAGATGGAACATAACTGCTTTTGACAGCTCTCTAATTACCTTGTAGATGAATTTGAAAGCAGAGTCCGTTTTCATCAAATAACATGTGTGTTCACAAGATTTTCAGTTATTGAACTCTATTTGTTTTACCTCACTGCTATCATGTTTAGCTAAATTTTACTATCACTATTATTATAAATATTACCATTTTGAAAAATAAGTATATATTTATGCTTGTACAACTTTGAAAATGAATTCTCCGAGAAGTGAACTGTTCAGCTAACCAATCTTTCTTGTTTTACATACATACATTTGTTTTAGAAGTTTTTTACCACTGGTTTATATTATTTTGAACAACGGTCGGATAACGGATTGTGTTGCATTGCTTTATTACTTTATCTTGAGGTGGTGTCGATGTAGTACATAGATATATTTGTCTCTTTAGGAATTAATGCAGTGTGTTTGAATTTCTTGGTTTGGTATATTGAGTTATATGAGGATCATCTTACAGAGTATAATCTGCCAAGTTTTAATCAACGTATAACACAACACGTTTATGCCATTATTGTCGGAGATTCTCTTTGGGCTTTAACGTCTCAGAATACTTTAAATTTTTAATATCTCAGGTACCTTAAATAATGTCACTTTCAATGGAGTTACTGTTTCTCATAATGAGACTATAGATTTATGTATACTCGTCAGTTACTAGTATTTGATCACAGATGTCTTAGGAATATTGCTCGCATCTGCTGGGATCACCGGGTAAGTAGTAGTGAGATCAGACGTAGGGTATTACGGAATGATCATAAATCAGTTGATGAGGTTGTCTTTCTACATCGACTGAGATGGTTGGGCCACGTGTTACGTATGCCTGAACACTGATTACCACGGCACGCAATGCTGACTAGTGTTGGATACGGTTGGAAGAGAGTTACTGGCAGTGAAACCAAGGCGTGACATTAATCCATAAAGTCACTAACCTCTGGTCTGAGCCATGTTGATAGATGCAAACTACTCGGTTGGGGTCCACTCACCTATCGTAACCAATGGTTGGAGACTGGGTGATCTGACTCAGAATGGATCACAATGACGTAGGAGTATACACTGTTTATCTTCCCAGGTCGTCAAGACCAACACTAATCCAATTTCCTTTTCAGGTTCCTCAAGAAATACCCTTCCACGGTGTGGGCAGCCGGGAAGTGACATCAGCCCTCATACCCGTAACAGCACAAGAGACCAAGGTGGTCACATTCAAATCCTTCCTACACCTCCTAATACCTCTCTTATCTCCATGACTAACCCTCCTCACGTCTCTTTATCACCTCGCACCGCTAGGGCAAACGATTCGAGTACGTGGAACGCCATTCCTGGTCTCCTGAAACCACGCTCTAAACTACACGTAGGAGCTTTTAACGTACGAACACTTTGCCAAATAGGACAGCAGGCTTCCTTAGCTAAAACTTTAGAATCTCGCGCCATCGATGTGTGCTGCGTCTCCGAAACGCGCATACAGGATCCGAGTAGCGTCATTCATTTGACCTCACCATGCCAAAATAAAGAACCGACTCGATTTACGCTTCGTGTATCTGGAAGCCCTGATTCTGCTTCCCGTGGCCTCGCCGGCGTAGGTATAGCATTGAGTCCTAGGGCAGAACTAGCTCTCTTAGAGTGGATCCCAGTAGACAGTCGTTTGTGCGCTGTCCGACTGAACGGAACAGTAAGAATCCGGAAAGATAGGGACACTCGTCGTTGCCTCTTCGTCGTCTCTGCCTATTCTCCCACTGACTGCAGCTCAGATGATGTAAAAGATGAGTTTTACAGAAAGCTTTCGGACCTTCTCCGAAAAGCTAAGCGCTCGGATGTAGTAATAGTGGCCGGTGACTTTAATGCTCAAGTAGGTAAACTAAGCGATAGGGAAAGACACCTAGGTGGATCTTATGGTGTCGTGGCTCAAAGAACAGATAATGGCGACCGTCTGTTGCAGCTATGCTCAGATAACCGCCTGTTCCTTGCAAATACTAACTTTAAGCATAAGGAAAAACATCTTTTAACATGGCGACCCCCTAATTCGTCCCAACGTTGGACCCAAATAGATCACATCGCTATCAGCCACCGATGGAGGGGCTCGATAGAAGACTGTCGCTCATTCTGGAGCACATGCCTAGATTCAGATCATGCTCTAGTGCGAGCGCGTATTTGCTTGCGTCTTACTGGACGTAGGAAAGACGCTGCAAGGAAACCTCTTAGGGCCTACTTAATGATAGTCAAGCTAAGAGTATATTTCAGGAACAACTAGGAAAACAGTTAGGCAGCCATGTATGTGATGCCCACCCCGATGCAGCATGGAATGATATCCGAAAAGCTGTGGAAACAGCAGTGATATCTGCTAGTAAGGTAAACCAGAAGGTTAGGGAGCAACACTGGATCTCAGCAGCATCTATCGCACTGATAGATGCTCGGAAACTCATTCCACCTGGCTCTGAACATAATGAAGAGCGGAGTCAGCTTAAGCGCAAGCTGACAAGAAGTCTACGCAATGATCGCGAACAGTGGTGGGTAGCGAAAGCAAGAGAGATGGAAAAGGCAGCGGCAATAGGTAATAGCAGACAATTGTTCAGACTCGTTAAGGAAACCGGAATTAGGAACCCGACCGTTAGCGAAACAATCTCAGAGAAAGATGGACATATTATTCATTCTCAATCCAGGAGATTGGATCGATGGGCAGAACACTTTAGGGATCAGTTCAACTGGCCTTCAGCCACACTTCGGTTTCCCACGATCTCCAGTCAACCTGAATGGCAAGTTAATGTAGGTCCTCCGTCCCTTTACGAAGTTGAAAAAGCCATAGGAAATCTGAAACGAGGGAGAGCAGCAGGCCCTGACAGGTTTACTCCTGAGATTTTTAAGGATGGTGGTCCAGTATTAGCAATGAGATTAACTGAGGTCTTAGGTAGAATTTGGGAACTGGACGTAATCCCATCTGACTGGTCTCAATCACTGATTGTGCCAGTCTATAAGAAAGGACAAAAGTCCTCTTGTGACAATCACAGAGGAATCAGTTTGACTAATATAGTGTCTAAAATATTAGCTTCAATAATACTTCGACGCCTAACTAAAGCTCGTGAAGAGCAGATTAGAGAAAACCAGGCTGGTTTTCGACCTGGACGTGGTTGTATAGATCAGATATTCACACTACGTCAGGTTCTAGAACACAGACACACATTCAGACGCCCCACAATGGTAGTATTTCTCGACCTTAAGGCGGCATTCGACTCTGTTGATCGTGAGGTTCTATGGCAGTGTTTGTCACTGAAAGGAGTACCAAAGAAGCACATTAACCTTATAAAGGCTCTCTACTCGAACACAACCGGTAGAGTGAGAGCTTATGGCGAACTGTCATCAGAATTGATTACCTCAAGTGGTGTTCGTCAGGGCTGTCCACTCTCCCCATTCTTGTTCAACTTTGTCATTGACGTACTTTTAGAGATAACACTCTCCTCATCTAAATTTCCAGGGGTTGAACTTCTACCGGGAGGTTCACTTGTTGACTTAGAATATGCTGATGACATAGTTTTATTTGGTGAAGACGCTGACAAAATGCAGAGTCTTCTGACCACTCTAAGCAACAATGCAAGCATGTTCGGGATGCGATTCTCTCCCTCGAAATGCAAAATGTTGCTTCAGGATTGGGTTACATCGACACCCGAACTAGTGATAGGGAGTGAAGTAGTTGAGTGTGTCGACCGCTTCACTTATCTTGGAAGTCTCATCAGCCCTTGTGGTTTAGTGTGTGACGAAATCTCAGCACGGATACAGAAGGCTCGACTAGCTTTTGCTAACTTGCGTCATTTATGGCGTAGGGGAGATATCCGTCTATCAACCAAAGGACGGGTTTACTGCGCAGCAGTTCGTTCCGTCCTACTTTATGGCAGTGAAACATGGCCGGTAAGAGTAGAGGATATTCGTAGGTTACTAGTATTTGATCATAGGTGTCTTCGAAATATTGCTCGTATATCCTGGGACCATCGAGTAAGTAAGTAATGCAGTTGTTAGGAAACGGGTACTAGGTAAGGATGGCAAATCAATTGATGAAGTAGTGAAACTTCATCAGTTGAGATGGTTGGGACACGTGTTACGTATGCCCAACGGCCGACTGCCTCGACGTGCTATGTTCAGTGGTATAGGAGTAGGTTGGAAGAAAGCTAGGGGCGGCCAAACCAAAACATGGCACAAGTCCATGAAGTCACTGACAAGTGGACTGAGTCATGTTGGTAGTTGTAGACTACCTGGTTGGGGACCGCGAGATGATAGCAACCGATGGTTAGAGACCCTGAATGACATGGCTCAAAATCGTTTGCAATGGCGCAGGTGCATCCACTCTCTGTGTTCTCCCAAATCCTAATCTTCTGAATCCTTCATGTCCCTTTTTTCCTCTTTCCAAATTTATTTCACTGGATTATACTCTTTTTATAACATCTCCAAACCCTAATCTTCCCGATTACTGCTTATACTCTTGCTACCTCTACCACCGCGGGATTTGAGTCGACAACTGCATCTCTGTGCTAATGTGGTGTGGCAACTCGAACTGATGTACATATGTACGAAGTTCTACGTTGTTACTGACTGACTGACTGACTGACTTATCTTCCCTTTAACCGTGAGATTTAAATTACTTTGTACCTTTCTTTTTACGAACTAATTCTTTCTCCCTGTATTATATCCTTATATGCAGTCTTTATTTAAATATTACTAGCGTTCGCACAATCGCTTCTATGAATTAGGTGTTCATCTTGTTATGCTAATGAGGTATGACAACGTGGACTGATGCATATATATGCATGTCAGATCTGAACTACATAATTGGTACATACTGATTCACATTTCTAATTTCAGCTAATTCACGATATAGAGCATGACCTTAATCCAATGCTATTGACGATATCTCACTCTTAACATGATCAAACTCCACTGGTAAACGTGACATTATTCTGTTAATAATTATTTGTAGTTTGAATGCCAGATTCTATTTCGTTTCGGAGGTCGATACCTCATACGAATAGGTTTTGTTATTAGTCTATACATTATCTATTCAGCTTGTTAACCAATAAAACTCGTCATGTACTTCATGCTTATTTATGGAGATAGTTTCTGTGTAGTTGAAATAATATTGATTCTTGATTATCCAATCGAAGTGTCTTCTTTAGTGTGTAAGGAGTTGTTGGCGTTTACCAACTTTTTTCAGCTGTGTAGTAAGTATGAACACCGTTTGCCAAGTGGAGAGTGTGTTTATTGTCCAACATTCGGCTCTGAATCGTGGTCTATGAAAATAGAAGACATGGGTAAGCTAGAGGTGTTTGATCACAAATTTCGTAGAGTCATTGTTGACATTTATTGGAACGATGGAATGTGTAATGCTGAGGTTTTCCTAAGGGTACTCGGTAAATGTAGCAAATTGGTTGATTAGACAGTGAATCTTCATCGACTTGAAGTGATTAGTACATGTGTTATGTATACCTTATCACTGTCCACCTAGACGAGTGATGGTTGGTAGTGCAGAAGTAGATAAGAAGATAGCTAGGTGCGGCCAAGTCAATACAAAGCATCAGTCCATGAAGTCTTTGAGTACTGGTCTGAACCATGTTGATAGATGCAGACTACTTCTTTAGAGTCCACGAGGTAATTGTGGTCAGTGATTGAAGGATTTGAGTGGAATGACTGGGAATCGTTCACACTGGAACAGGTCCATTCACTCTTGGTGATGCCCATCTGTTTTTAGTTTGTAAAGGTGAAGAAAATGTGAGCTGGAACTAAAATTCTAATCAATGGCTTTTTAAATAAGCTTGATTATTAAATGAACTAATGATTTTAAAAGTATTTTTCTGTATTATGTTTTATTATCAGTTTATCTTTAAAGTCCAATATGTTATCCGCTTATAGACTACTCGAGATGTTGATATAGATATGATTTTATCCTACCTACACTGAGTCATAGTTGGTCATTCATCATTAATTCAAATTATATGACATCTGTCTGATTGACACTGAACAGATCGATTCTTTACACATAACTAATGTTCTTCATTTGTTTACGCATTTCCTGATATAATATGAATTTTATAACACTATTTGTTACGGATTGACATCAGTTTGGACACCATCGAAAATCAGGGGGCACTAGACAGCTGTTTTATACCACTATGAAACTCCTGAGCACAGCACATCTACAATCTCACCGATAATAGAACCTTGGATCTATTAAGATCTCTAACCGAAGTACTACCTACTTAAATATTGATTTAGGATTTACTGAATTATCCGACACTTGTCGAGTGAGATTGGTGGTGATTTTTTGATGTGTATCTTAGGTGAGTTTCTCTAGTCACAAATTTTATCCGAGTTAAATTTGAAGGTTATTTATGTACCAAATTAATTCTTCATTGATCAACTTAAAACCTTGAAATAACCCATACCTTTTGAGAAAGTATGTAAAATTAATGTTATCTGAATGAATGTACAACTATTTACTAAGGTAACTAGTTAGGTTGTATCTAGTGCCAAACATTATTCTTGACAAATAAATATCATTTAAATTTTTTACATATTTACTATGGAAAATGAAAGACAAGTTCCACTTCCTATTGTTTGTGATTACCATCATTTTTATTAATCAGTACTAATCTTTATGAAGGTTAAGTAGTCCTCATAGGACCTGAGGTTCCTTAGCTCGATTCCATGTAGAGTCGTGGATCCATACTGCTGTTAAAGATGAAACAACTGTCTAATGCTTCCTAGTTTTCAATGGTTTTCTAACTGTCATTTTAATTATGTGAACTATGAGATTCAGCAATCTTCGCATATCCTTGCAGTATTAATTTTATTTATTTATTCTTTGTGCTGTTTACAGAAAGATAAAGATTTAATTAAATCTCTCATTGAAAGCATCGATTCAAATCTTAGAAGAAATCGTTTAGAAACAGAATTAGTTGATAATAATAATAATAATAATAATAATAATGTCTCGAATATTAATTGTGATACAATCACACCAACTGATGTTGTCAATGACGAGAATTCGTTGGGACAATCTGAATTAATGAATAACAGCTCAGTGATACAGTGTAATGATAATTCACTAAGTAATTGTAATATAATGAATGGTGAGATGTCATTGGACACAACAAATTGTACATCGGATATATCAGTGATACGAAGTTATGAATGTGATAATAATAACATTAATAATGAGTGTGGTCCTGATAATAGTAGTAATGCTGATCTCCAGTCAGATAATTCGTTAAATACAACGATCGAACAACTTGATAGTGATAGTAATGTCGAGGTTTTGGGTAATTTAAACTGCGCAATAATCTCTACCAATCCTATTAATGAGATATTCACTGAATGTATATTGGGTAATCAAACAATGAATAAAGATGGTAAATTTATCAATAATAATAATAATATTAATAATAATGAGAATTTTGCAATAATGGAAAAACGAAGTAAGGAAGAAAAGAAAACAACAATAGTGGTAGAACAACGACGACCACCTTTACTTCAACATTCATCCGATTCATTTATGACTATTGAAAATCTCTCTTCTTCATCTAACTTATTCCAAAATGTAAATATACCATGCTTCAAGGATGATAAGTCATTGAATTGTAATACCGAATCAGATCCAATTCAGTCATCTGTAAATGTTTTTGACGAATCAGATTCACTGAATACAATAAGTCAAAATAATCATAATCATACAAATGATGACGTAATCAGTAAATAAATATTATAAAACAGAGATCGAAAAAATCCAAATGAATTCCTCACCGTAATAAAGATATGCCTTCATCAGTAAATCTGTCAAAACCAATATTAATTGTGTTTGACATAACAGTAATAAAAGTAATAATAGTGCTATGATTTTGTTGTTCAATATTTTCCCCCTTATTATTAACTTAAGAAAAAAACAAAATAATTGTGCTTTTCTTTTTCTGGTAAGTTATTTTTAAAAGGTCATTGAGCTTTTTTGTTTTTATGTTCATTGTTAATTATGAAGTGATTTTTCAAAGATCTACCAGAATTATGTCTAGTTTAAACAGAACGAATGAAGTGGTTGATGCAGTTAATAGTTTCGTTTATTTTTGTATGACAGCATTAACATTAATTCTTCTATGTAGATATCTTTCATCATTTATGTTACTTGACAGATACATCAATGTTCATCCCAGCTCACATATACAATTAAATGTCCATTCTCTTCTACTTTATCCGTCCTCGAAAATAGTTGTTGAAATTGTATTAAATCATAAACTAGAATACATTTTTTGAGATTAAATATGAATTTCTTAAAGAGATTAATGTTTTCTTCAGAGTATACTGTTATCAACCAAGACTATTTGTGATAGTCACTTTGATGATTAATCACTTTCTCATTGTATCTTATCTCAATTAAGATAGGGATGAAAAGATTGTTTTGAGAAATTAATATATTGATGTTATTTGTTGAATTATAAATTAAGAGAAATGTATCTGAAACGGATGAATAATCAAAACAAACTGAGATCTGGTTATTATTGAAATATAATAGGTAAAGAGTCAGATATGTTACTTAAAGGCCACTAATTCAAGTCCTTCAAATTTCAGTCATCATTTATAAATCTATACAATATTACGTGTTATCAGCTCATATATCACATGAAAGATAAAAATAACGGTAGATTCTTCTTGAAATCATTCAACTCGGTGGCTCATACAAATGATAATAAAAGTGGTAACTTCTTGGTTAAGGTTGAATAACTGTAATATTGAATTCTTTTGTATTTATTCATATGGTCGGAGCCAGCTTTTTGATTTCCAGTAATATGTTTATTCCATCAGGTTTGAAAAAACCAATGTATTTTATGGTTTTACTTTCATGTATATTAAACATAGCGAGTAAACTGTTGTCTTCACAAAATTATAACTCAATCTGTCTATATGTACGCAATCGATTTGTGACTTCAATGTGTTCTATAAATTGCTTTAAAACTATAGGTAACAGTTTTGTCATAGATATCGAGAATCAAATTACTTGAGAATTTTATATAGAGAAGGTTGGTAATTCTTTATTTATCCTATAAGTGAGTCCGCATCTTTTTCCCTTCAATAGATATTAAAAAGAGCTTAATAATTGTGTCCTATACAGATATAGTGTATTGAACAATAGAAAATGTCTAACATCAAAACTTTTGCATCATAGAATCATTCTATTTTCAATATAGCAGCTCACTTCTAATCAAGTTTGTTCACAAATAATTTGGTCAAGACTTCTTGTTAACTCATTTAAAGGACAGTCATCCGTACGATAACAATTTATCTATATCATTGTACCTTTCTTATTGTTGCACTTCTGTGGATATGTATGCTTGAGTATTACTTACTTACTGTCTACGCATATATTCATACATTTGAACCTACTCATTCAACTCGCTGACTCGCTCTCACACCCGCTTGCCTGCTTGCTTTTCGGCAATACTATCTCATGCTTGTTTAGTGTACCTGTAAATTTGGATATCTGTGTGTGGTGTAATAATAAACGTAATCAACGCTTCGTATTCGCCTTCTGAATAATACACCGTTTGGGCATTATCTGTTGACGGTTATCAGGGCGAACTATATACGAAGTTTAAGGATTATATTGAATACCGACCACCACACCCATACAATTGATAATTTGACATTAGTTTGACATAAACTTGTCTTGTGTTACCGCACCATTTTTCTGACTCAACTATGTTTACCATAGATAGATAATCTGAATCCAAGTTTTTGTTGAGTTTCATTCTAGATCACTAGCAATGCATAACATTTAGTTTTTCTGAGATTTAAGATTAAATATCTGCATCTTATATATCCAATAGATTTTATATTGTAATACAATTATTTCGTAATGTCACGATGTGTTATTACTTTCTGCATTCCTGCCTTTGTCAATTCTCATAGACCATAACATTGCCAATCCACATTTATTAATTAAATTACTTTAATCAGCAATAGGTCAGTCATACGTCATGAATGTTTCAATTAGTGACTTATAGAAAATGACTCTTCTCCAATCTATCTAGTATTTAATTTGTTGACAAAAAATTATTACTTTAAATATTCTTTTAAATCAGAATGTTACTGCTTACATAACGAGTTTGTTTGGAAAGTAATCATATTAGACATTTATAGTGAAACTATTGATTTGATTCTGTCTCGTTTGATTAGGTTAATCTCGTTTATTCATTGTTCCACGTAATAAATTGTTTGTAAATTGTATATGAAATGTTTTATTTATCGAATTCTCATGTTTTTTAATCTTTATTAAAGCTATTCAGAATCTGTTCAATTCTCGAATTCTATGATATATATATATATATATATATATATATATATATATATATATATATATATATATATATACTGATTTGGCTCCAATGTCTGATTCGACGTACAATATCCACGATCCTAATCCGTACCTAATAATCTCTGAATTTCAATATTGACTCCTATTTTTTCTCAAAAATAATATTCGTTGTGATCTGTTTTTTATTTTTTATTTATTATTAAAACAGAAAAACTTTCTTTAATAAATACTTACCTAGTAATTTTACAGTTACATCGTTTTCTCCAATATCGATTTCAATGGAATTTCACAAACTCAATTCTAAGGTTTATAATTGTTCATTATGAAATTTTCTTTTCCTTTTTTGTTGTAAATTGTATTTTCAGTTACTGTTATTTTAATTATGTTGCTTTATTATGCAAACGTATACGGATGTATACATTCTCAACTACTGATCATATTGATAATTGCAATACTTTACTGAACTCTTTCTCATGTATCATATTGACAATAATGAATAATATTGTAGGTATCGATGCCAAGGTTAGTCTTGATAGTTTCAGATAAATTGAGCTTTGGGTACAAGGTTAATAATAAATATATTTTTTGTTATATCCCAATGAGTAGAAAATTTTATCCCTGACGTTTTGTGACCTATTGTAAGCCACTTCTTCGGAGTGAGTAAATAACCGAATTTAATTTACATATGTTTAAATAGTACTAAGGAAACATTGAAGAAGATGATTACATTAAGCCACGAAACATCAAAAATACAATTTTTTACTCATTGGGATATAACAAAAATATATATTTATTATTAATGTAGAATATTGTTATCATCAAACACTTCTTGAGTATGTTGGCATCAGCTTAAATGAATCTTGTTTACTATTAAAATTGCACAATGCATAGTCATCTATACACTCATCATTTATTCTTTTGACTCATATACATTGGTTTATTCTTATTATCATTATTCATTTCTATTATTTTACTGTATTTTACTGTAATTTGTTTTCATCACCAGTATCGTTGCCTATGATAATTTTAAATAAGTATCAGCTTATACCTTTTTGTACACACTTATGTTTATTTCCATTTTAATCTAATATTCTTTTTTTTATTCCTCATGTTTGTTTTTGTTTTTGTTTTTTCATTGTGAAGTTACAAACAATTAAACAAAAGGGTTTTAAGTTTTTCTTTTCGGTTCTATCATGTTTTGTATATTTTTTTCGAAGAATACTAATATTATTATGATTGTCAGTAAAACAATATATTTGTAACTATTGAATTATTAAACCGCTGTAATCTTTTGTTTATTTTGTTAATTAGATATATCATAATGTTTGTTTGTATGTATATGTGTGGATGGATGAATGTTTGTTTGGTTATCTTTAGGAATTTATTGGTTAGTTCATTCTATTTTCTGATTGCAATACATATCAAAATAATTCTATATTTTCTATGACATTTTTCTCCTGCAGTTACACTTTAAACTCATGAATCTTTTGTTAAATCGTCAATTCACCGTTTGTTCTCATCATACTTAATTTCTTTTGTGATAGGTCATTATCATTCATTAATGAAATACATTAATAAAAAAGTAATTACATTCAGCCTATTTTCCAATTTGTTGATTAAAATCATTACCTATAATTGTTGAATTGTATGCGATGCAAACAATCAAACTTGTGAAAGTATTTAGTCAAGTAATAACTACTTAGCTTATATATGACTAAAATACTTTACAGACGGAGTTCCTTTGATAATAATCCCATATTGATTTACATTTTGAATAAGACACGTATACGTATATACAGATTGTTCACGAAGTTTTACACAATCTAAATGATGCGATGATGGATGCTATTTGAAGTATTGACTAAAGTTTCTGTATCATGTGATTTTTAGTAATCACCAACTATTGATTTATCAGTTAGAATAGTTATTGATTCAAAGAGATGATCCTATTGTTGTATGGTATGTTTCAACTTCATTTCATGTTATTTATGATTCATTTAACAATTATGTAGACAAATAATACTTTTCTTCCTGGGTAACTTTCGTACAACTAGTATTGTCTCATTAAAGTAATTGTCGTGAGGTTATTCCCAGCATTCCACTTATCAGTAAGTGCATTGTACTCAGCACATTTGGTTGTCTTCCAGCTTTTTTGGTGAGTTAGTGCTAGATGGTAGAGTAAAATTTTCATCAAATATTTCATCTCAATCTCTAACGCTTGCTACTTTTTTTATTCGGGCTGCTACACTGACATGTTTGTAGCAGATAGTTATGAGTAGGTCCAAACACCTGAAGTGAGATCCTCCATGAAATTACACTACAATATGCAGCACATATCTATTAAGTGAATGAAAACATGGTTAAAGCTGCCAGATATCATGCAGTTAATGAATATTGAAGATGTTTCGGTTAATCTCACCTCATATCCTGACTTTATAATTCAATGTGCTTATAAGTTTAGCGTATAAAAGCATTTTAGTATGTAGGTTTTACGATGGAAAACTGGTGTATTTGAGATTACAGTGCTTCAGTTTTATCTAGTCAAATGTCTTTT